GGGGTATGGTCAATTTGCATGTTTCTCTTTTATTAGATAGGATCCTCTCTTCTCATCAACTTTCTCAAATTCCAAGGCTCTCATTAAGTGTACATTATCAAAGCCACTACCTTTTATATCTTACCAGTATTATTTCAGAGCATACATCTTGTGGTTCAGGCTTTGGCAAAAAGGCCTGTTCATCTTCAGATGACATAGCTGAAAGAAATAAATTTTCAGTTTTGACAATCAGGTGACTATACTTTCAACTTACCAGCAAGTGTTAAGCAAATGACAGTTTTGAGTACTCCAAATGCAAGTGAAGGATTCAAAAAAAGCTCAAGATAGGTACAATGAGGAAAAGTCATATCAAAGTGGGACAAAGAGGTGCTTACTTTTGCCAATGATACCTGCTTAATTAAACCCCATGGCACACAATGGCAACATTATAAAAACACTCCCACCTCCCAGTTTCTTCGTTGGAGAGAGAGAGAGACAGACATGAGGGAAGTGCATGTTCAATGATCTCCCTGTTTTGAAGCATCTTGAAGAACATGTGTCTGTTGTGCATGACACAGAGTGTGAACAGAATGGCAGTACATGGTGAGTACCCTGTAGTGGTTGCAACAAAGAAGCAATGAGAAAGTGTTCAAGTACCACAAAGACTGTGGTACTGAAGATGTATATCAAGCCTGAAAAGATACCGTGGGCCAGAGAAAGAAACAGAGAACATTTCCAACTGGGAAATTAAACAGACAAACGAACCAAGAATACAGATCCTGAAAAAAGTGTTGACTGAAATTAGAATTTGTTCCACGGACAGTTATTGTTAGTTTCCTCCTACAGAAAACATGTTCAAAAGCCTGCTTGTTTACAATTCCTGAATCTCAACAAAAGATGTAAGTCATGCAAAGAAACAGAAAGTGTCCCATCAGATTAGTTTCCTCCTACAGAAAACATGTTCAAAAGCCTGCCTGTTTACAATTCCTGAATCTCAACAAAAGATACCAAGTCATGCAAAGAAACAGAAAGTGTCCCATCAGTAACACAAAATATATGTAATCAAAGTGGCACTACATCAATGAAAATAATAATATTAATTAAATGAAAAAAAAGGGAAAATAAGTATCTTAAAAACAAAATGTAGAAAAAAATGACTACTGTATAACATCAGGAAAACGTTATGAACAAAATAAAAATACAATGAGAAAGTATATTTTCAAAAACCACTCTGAAGTGGGAAATTAAAAAACTCAATACCCGAATGAAAAAACTACAGTAGAGAAAAGGCAAGTTCCTGGTGCAAAGGTTGCTCTGCAGCATAATTTAGGCCTCAGAGGAGCTGTAGTGGTCACAATCTACAAGATGGGTTTTCCCGAAGCTGCTAGAACTCATCAAATTGAGGCTGCTCCAACCAGAGCTGCAGTTGAAGGGTTTAAAGCAAATCTTGTTTTTAAGGAAATTGAGAAGGAGCTAGAAGAGGCAGAGGAACAGTTGTGACATTTCTGCCTTCAAGGTGAAAGATGGCCCCAGGGTAAAGAAGCCACCTGGGTGGATGTGAAGACTGGCAAAGAATCAGTGCTTCGTGGCTCAGATAAGGCTGACTGCCCAATTACAATAGCTGACTTGGACTTGATGGCTTTAACGACGCATAAAATGAGTACTCAGTGGGCCTTCTTTCAAGGCAAATTGAAAATCACTGGCAACATGGGTCTCGCTATGAAGTTACAAAATCTTCAGCTCCATCCGGGCAAAGCTGAGCTGTGAAGAACTTCCTGTGCCTACCTTTGAAAATCAAGATGAGACTTAGAGACATATACCATATATTTCACTGTCAGAACTTACACTGAAACCATGCATTGGGAAATAGAATGAGATTTGTTTTTAAATGGGTGCGACCAATCCTGTTTTTCCTAAGCTCTGGGTGAACAGAGTCTGATGGTATACTACTATTTTCCTGAATTGCATACAACTATGCATTACAAAGGTAATATGGTAATTATGGTTTTGGAGTAAAATTGAGTTCCAGAATTAAATTAAGAACAGCAAAATCTAAAAACTATGTAAACAAAAGCTCTTATTTTGCATATGAAGTACATTTGAGGATTATTCAGCTGAAGATTCGATTGAAGTTTTCCTTGGGAGAACCAGGGGAAGAAACAAAATACCAGAAGCTGGCCAGAAATCAGTGTTGTGCACTTAATGACTTTAATCTGTTTTAAATTAATAGTTTTTAAAATTCTATACTGGGATTAAAACAATTAAAATTTTTGCATTTTGTGCAATCAGAATGGTATTTTCTTCCCAAATCTGAATAAAAGAAATATCAGAGCTTGGGGGGACACAAGCCTATTTTTAAAGTAAAAACATTTTTAAATTAGTTTCATACTCGAAAAATCAGTATCATTAAATTATTTTGATAAAATTTGCTTTAATATGCAGTTTATTATTTTTTTAAAATATATTTTATTGATTTTTCACAGAGAGGAAGGGAGAGGGATAGAGAGTTAGAAACATCGATGAGAGAAAAACATCGATCAGCTGCCTCCTGCACACTCCCCATAGGGATGTGCCCGCAACCAAGGTAAATGCCCTTGACCATAATCGAACCCAGGACCCTTGAGTCCGCAGGCCGATGCTCTATCCACTGAGCCAAACCAGTTAGGGTTTTAATATGCAGTTTAAAAATTATCTCTTCTCCTACCTAATAAAAGAGTAATATGCAAATTAGTTGTCACTCCGTGACAAAGATGGCAGCGGCTGGGCCAGGACACTGCATCGTCGCCATAGTGACGATGCAGGCATTCTGCCCCAACCTGCCGGCAGAGGGCCTCTGGGCCTGCTTGGCCACTGCTGCCACCAGGGCAGGGGAGCAGAGACACAAGCCTTCAAGGGGGCCCGGCACCCAGCAGCTCTAAGCCCCGTGGCCGCAGAGGTGCTGGAACCGCTGGGGGTGGAGGAGCAGAGACACAGCCCACAGGGGGGCCGGCACCCAGCAGCCCCAAGCCCCACCTGGGCTCTGCGGCCGGAGGAGCAAAGTCACTGCCCATAAGGGGGCCTGGCAGTCAGCAGCCCCAAGCCCCACCTCAGTGCTAGGGTCAGAGGAGCAGAGACACAGCCCACAGGAGCAACACCCAGCAGCCCCAAGCCCCGTGGCCACAGAGGCGCTGGGGCCACTGGGGCTGCAGCAGAGACACAAACCCGCTGGAAACCCGTGGAAAAGGAGATAAACTATCATAACTTTATTTCCCTTTCCACAAGATGGGAAAACTGACCCTGATTTATTTAGTGATATGGCCCACACCTTTCTACAAGCACAGGGTATGTTATGACCACTCCCAGGAAGGTCTGGTCAGAATACTGTCTCCAGGGAATAACGCTACTGTGGCAAATAAGCTAAGAGAGGAAATAAGCTTTTGTTGGGTTTATTCTGAATGTCAGAGAACAGACCACCTCAACATATGCCATGTTGTTATATTGATGATCTTGAGGTGCAGATGCTTAAAAAACAGCAAATGCAAGGAGAGGCTTTCACTGAAGTCTCCTGATCTGCCTAAAATTGGACCCCCCAAAAGTTTCCCTCGATGGGAAAAGTGCCATCAGCCAGTGAAGACTGACTCCTGTCACAGGACAGGAGACTAGAAGTTGACATCACACCCAAACTTTGTTACAAACTATCTCCCCCTCCCCCATTCATCTTTCCTAAAAATCATGTACTCTCTAAGAGGCCTACATATCCCGTCCCCTTTCCCTAGGAAGAAGGTATTTAAATCTGGATTCTAAGCTACCTTGGGGAGTTACTCATTTTTGCCTGGGATCTCCCACATATACATGAGGTATACATGTTAATGAACTTTTGTTTTTCTCTTGGTAATCTGTCTTTCATTACAAGGGCCTCCGCTAAGAACTCAGAAGGGGATTCCGGTCAAGGGTATGTACCTTGGTTGTAGGCACATCCCCAGTAAGGGAGTGTGCAGGAGGCAGCTGATCGATGTTTCTCTCTCATCAACGTTTCTAACTCTCTATCCCTCTCCCTT